CATGCACCGTACCTAACACGTGCGTCGCCACCGTTGAATCCCACAGCAGAGCATTATACTTATACGTCGCCGTGACATGCGCCTCAGATGTTCCAGCAGCGTTGTGTGCAGTTCGCTCGCGGTATCTCCTATACACACATATTCACAGTTATTGTGAATACATTTGTGAACACAGTTAGTCATCTTATCTACGAAAAGTCTGTCTTTCAGATACATCATTGTTGAACAGATCCCGAGTTTTATTCCTTGATTAGTGCCGTCGGGAAGGAAAAGGAAGTTCCTTCTACCTATACTATTCTTATAGTCCCAATTCATTCCGCTGTATATTTTCAATATGGTTTTAGCATATTGTGAAACGTGTCTTCCACTACCGGTTTCGGGTGTCCACTATTCAGCAATTACCTTACTGTCTACTTCCTTCTCTGTGCACATGGCCTTATCTGTGAAACACAGAAATCGGAATTGTAGTGCTGTGTCCCATCTGTGTCCGTCGGTTGACGAAATATCGGTTCGGAAGCTAATCATTCTTGCAAACAGAGCAGTCAAGGAATGGCAATGTGCTACTATGGTGGGCAATTTCAGACTTCTCAGCAACTAGCTTACTTATCCACTTTTGTGTTCAAAATGTACCATCCACTTGATACCAACAACTTTTGGCCATTTACTGGAGTTTGCCAGTACTATGTACAACATAGTGGACATTGGCGATTTAATGATAACACCATGTTCTTGAGTGCCTACTTCCGACTGAAACCCGAGCTAGAACAACATACCGCGCAATGTCCTACTCTCGCTTGTTTCAACCAAGTTAATTTTCGGTCACTCCCCAGGTTAATCTCTTCACTCAAACGGCGTTTCATTATGCCCAGTGCGTCGTATTTCGGCATCTTAGTGAGGAGTGCGTTAACGTTAACATAGATCATTGTTTCACACGAACTCATGACGGTTCTTTACAAACGTATTCCTTCACCCTGTCAACGGCTACATTATACTAACGATTGCATATAGACCAGTAAATGCGAACTTTTGCCAAACCGGTAACCTTATCACAATCAACGCGGTACTCTTCCGCAAAGCTCGGTGCAGTACATCATACATTGCTGTGCAGATGCTGATGCTAACCTCATCATTAAGGCCGATCAACTGCAGTTAACAGGTAATTCGGCCACACCCACCGATTACTAACGCATTGTTCCATGATAGCGCGTAATGAAGCACCGCACGCATTAATTATTTCACCTAGCCACTATTAACCACAAGCGATCACACGTAGACACCGCTAAGTCTAGGTCACACCATGTGAGGTTAACGGACCTGCCTGGTAGCTTGCATGTAGCTAGTTTCAGTGAAGTCAATCGATACTGTTTCATTGTAGAGTACATTGCATATCCGGTCGTCTGCGCGTAACAGTGAGCACTTTGAACGCGGATGGCCGCTCAGTTCTGTGTTGTGTGTCTTGATGCCGCGTAAGTGAGTGGGTGGGAGTTAAAATACTTCCTCCACCGTCCATAGATGCCGCGTGCTAGCCCGCACCTAGCCTACAGTGAATGAGCTCACGTGTTGTTTTCATGTCCGCGTGTGCATCATGTGGTTTGTTGGCTGAGCGCAGTCTAACCGCTGTACCAACCGATGCAGACGTTCTGAGTATTCTTGTACTGATTTGCAATTGGTCAAGACGATGGTTTCAACTTGATGTGCTTATGAATTGAGTAGAATATTCTTAAGGAGGAGCTTGATTCCGTTATGTATTGACTTGAGTCGTAGAAGTTATAGACTGTGTCCGCTACCGAGTACATGTAACCGGTCCTGACTACGCGCAAACTGACTGAAGTGACTGCGCTGCTTGATTTATTTCTACCTTCTTTACTCATGTTGTATCGGCATTCCTCAATAACCGATACTGCTTGCAATTCTTTGTTTTCTCCTATTTGTAGATATTTGTTACCTGCGCTATTGAATCGACGCACAAATATTCTAGTAAAATAAGGTTTATGGCATGAAGGACAATTCTGGTATATCGGCAACAGCAGTAACAGAGTAGTTGTAGTCTCATGCTGGTTAACCAGGGAATGGAGATGAGGTATGGAGGAAAAAAGGGAATTGTGACGGCAGCGCGTGGGCGCTCGATACCATCCGAGTGTTAATTTTCAGAAAGTGGTTTTCATTAACGACTTCGTGCGTGTCATCGAGTCAAATTTCTTGTTATGCGGCGATGGCATAAAGATATAGTGTTGGATCGATAGACAGGAAGACCACGAACTTCTGCAACGAGACCTAGACCGTGCTTTTAAATGACTAAAGACCGTTTCTTCCACTTCAATAAAAAAGAGTAAATGTACACCACGAGCCCAATAACACGTATAGACTTGGAGACCATATATTGGGACCGCGTCACAGGCGGTGAAGCGAAACGACCACGTCTGTTCGGAGCAATCCTTAGAAGTGCCCAAAAATGGGAACCAACGTGCTGGCCTCTTATGCAGAGCGTTCGGGCGGTTTGAATCTTACATCCCCCCACAAATGCTCAATGCGCATGTGATTCCCACGTGAAGTACGCGATGCAAACCTGGCAACACTGGATAAAATGCGATCTGATTGTACTTGAAAGCAACCAGCGAAGCGCAGCCAAAAATGTTGGGGGTATGACAAGTAAAAACACGGACACGGCTGTGATGTGTACATACGAGCTAGTCATGGTTCGCTCGGAAATTTGCGGATTTATTCACACACGAGTCATGCGTATCGCCAGACAGACCATGGCTCATGTCAATCAACCACAAAAGTTCGCCACCGCTAGATTAATGGTATCCAGTTTGACAGCGTTCAATACTCCACTCCTCACAAAGTGATCGCCAATACTGTATTGGTAAAATGGCGTTGTCATCAGCTGGTACTGCTACATGTGTTATTCCCAGATGTGTAGATGATGGGCGAATCCTTGGCTCCTCTTCTTCACTCACAGACTGTCGTTGCACTTGGTTCAAATGAGGTCGAAGGATTCGCCCGTGCTCCGGCTCCACTGCACTACCCCTGGTTGATCTCGTAATCCTTCAGATGCAAGTTTTAGCCGTTAGGCTTGAAGGCACACTTTGTCGTCTGCCACAACCGCACGATCCTTCGCTCCCATGTCGTAGCGTCGCTGGTATTTAACAACCATTCGATGCAGGTCAGGTTTGGTCAGATCCAACTGAGTGCGCAAACGTCGCCCCATCAAAAGTTCACATGGTGGATGATCCGTGGTAGTGTTTGTTGCAATGCGGTACTGTAGTAGTAATTTGTCCAGGCAGGTTTGTAAAGTTCCGAAATGTTGTTTGGCCCCAAAGTGTTCGATTGACGTAACCACTCGCTGTACCAGACCATTGGACGAAGGGTGATATGGTGCCGAGACAACGCGCTCGATTTCATTTTGACGTAGGAATTGTCCGAACCTGTCGCTGGTAAAAGTCGGGTCGTTATCTGAAACAAATATACATAGTAAAGCATATGTAGTGAATATATTCCTTAAAATGTGGAGAGTGCTCGACCCAGTCATGGATGTGGTCGCCTCAGGCTTCGACCCATATGGAACGTGTGTCCACTACAACCAGCACCATGAAGCCGTCGATGGATCCATAGAAATCAACGTGTATTCTGTCCCACGAGCGAGGAACATTGCCATGAAGACATTGGCACAGGGTGCTGGGATGCTTTACTTTCTTGACAGCTAGCACACAACTGTACGAGTTGTTCTATCTCCTGATCGACTCCCGGCCAGGAGATTAGGTAAAGTGTGTTGCGGTACATTAGCTGAGATGTGTTTCTCACCCTCAGCTAATGTGTATTGATGATAATCTAGTTGTGTGCTAGTGCCATCATCTCCAAATTTCCTTGCTTACTCATATGGAGCTCCAGTAGGATTGTTTGACGATGACTCGAGAACCCCAAAGTATGTAACTGTCCTCGAGACTTAGAACTCCGTCTACCCTGTCCGGTCAACCAGTTCAGTTTGCCGTACCAACGATGATGGAAAGCAGTAGGATTGTAGGGGCGGAAGTTATCGCAGTCTACGTGGAGACCTCATCCTGATGTATCAGGTTTTGAAGAATCCTAGCCAAGTCTGTAGCCACCTTCTGAAATGTAGCGGCAACACAGAACTGGCCACCCAATACAACGGACTGGAATGCCTTTGCGTCTGAATTTGGCAGTCGTGGAATGCTCTTCCAACTTTTATTCCTACGTCTACGTTAGCTACTTTCCAGTCTGCATTATGTAAGGTGAATTCCATTTATCGTGTGAAACAAGATGAAGAAAAACATGGTGCTCACTAGCTTCCACGAAATCGGAGTAGACACAGTTGTAAGCGTGTTATCGTGGATTTTGTATTGAGTCCACTAATGCGCGGTTCACTTTGTTGTCAATGTTCCCAACTTACGTATTAAACACAGACCCTCCCCCTACGAGATTTGTCAAGTCGCAGCTTTTTGTTTACTGGAATTATACCATTATTCCATTAAAGATTCACCGCGTCTAGTCTGCAACTCAACCATTGGATCTTAGAGGAAAGCACGGAGCAGGCCAAACTTGGGAGGAGGGAAAAGATGCACTAGTGTGCACTTAGGAATAGTCACATGTGATCTAACAGGAAAAGGAAAATCAGTACACGCTCCAGAGCGCATGAAGTGATACAATGGTGATAGTCTAACCCCAGAAGAATTTCAGCGGAGAAGCACCAAATCTTCGGAGACCAACTGGCGTGAGAAGACCAGAGAGGAACATGTGTGAACTCCTAATGTTATGGATGACTTGGCCAACTAACTGATCTTATAAGTTGCACAGTACCGGTTCCCACTACCGAGAATGGAAGACATAGTACACGGATTCCTGCTCAAGTTCAGATGAAGAGATCGGGGTTTGGTCTCAAACTATGGATAGGTTTGGTATGAGTGGCGTCAGAGACTGCACAATTATGGATGTCAGAGGTAAGCGAGCAAGCGCGTCGAAATAACCAGCATTAAAACTTACAAGATTACTAAATTCATTTGTAGTAAAATTAAAAAGTTTATGAAAACGGAACAATTGAAACAGGTAGGTCAGTAAAGAGCGAATAACGAGCAACCGCAAGGTAAGTATGAGACAGAAACCTTGATAAATTCTGTCTGGTGTGCACAAACGGCTGCATTACGGGTCATAAGGTAACAGAAAGAGAAGTAGACAAATGGCGCTTGGAGGGGACTCACAGGCTTGTCCACAAATAGAAAAAAGGCCTATAGTGTCCGGAGGGGCGCAAGTGGCCGGAAATGATACGAGTGAAATGCAAGAAAATAGAAAAATTACGGTAGCAACCGGTAATTGCAAACAGGTGGGATATGATATGAATTATGTGGATGCTGGTAGGAAAAGAGAATGAACAAGCAACCCGAATTTGAGAGGCGAACCACCAGCGGAGAATATTAATCGAGAATAGAATGTATGTGGGGGAATATTTTGAGTGTATACATCTCTGAAGAATCAAAAATCGTCCGTTTGACCCCGAGGGGCTGGAAAAGAAGACCAGATTGTATGAACAGAAGGAAGAAGAGGATATACTAGAAAAGTGGTAAGGGCGCTTTCGGAATGACTTCCTGAACAATTGATATTGGAGCCCACCGTGTGGACGACTAGGACAGACGGTTGCGGTGATTCCGTGGTTTCCCCAAATCAGGACACAATGTATTCAGGCGTTCCAGGACGCAGCCCGAAGTCAATCGGCACTCAGGATCGGGGTCCCAACATTCGGTGATAGTGCGACAGAGCTGAACTATGGGCTGAAAGATAGTAGAAAAAAATTCAACAATTTGTAATCGTCAAGCACAAAAGTGATGAGGTCACTGTGGGCAGTTTGAAAAAAGAAGCGGCAAAAAGTACCCGCCTTCAAACTTTTATCCTAAAAGGTAGCCGATGAGAGTGAATCGATGGGAAATACTTCCTCAGAAAATTTACAAAAACATCGTGCTACAACCAGTCGCCTATTTTAGCAAACTAAGGCCAAATGCAGGCCCAATATTCACACCGTAACCGCTAAACAATGAAGCTGCGAAAATTAGTGAGCTCCAGGTGGAAAGTAAAAATGATGAGTTAAATTGCAAAGAAGTGAACGCGATAACCCATTAGGAAAAAGGAACACAAAGGGTAGGGATAGTTCTACCCCGACCTTATTATTGTTAACCAATACGTCCGCTGTGCACCAGCCACTGGAGTTAGATGAATTAAGTGGTCAGACTCCGTAGCACCGACAAGTCGTGAAGATGAAGTGAAAAATTGAAGAAAAATAAAACGAAGAATAAACTAGAAACAGCGAACTTATTAAACAGAAATAGCAAAGTGACATGATGTGATGAAAGGCGGATTCATGAAAAGGTTTTGGAACCCATTAAAATGCCTGAATCACCGATTAAGCCCCATCCGGTAACTGTGTCGAAGGTCCAACAAAAACAGAAGGGCCTATCGGTGACATTAGGATCGGTGTTACATCTCAGTGGTCATATACAATATGACGTTGGAAATGGGAAATAATATCAGTATTCCTTAATGTCTCTAAGTGCGCGGTGGCCACTCACTTGGTTCACGCAGTGCATCTGTTGGACGGAGGTATCTTACGTCCTGTGGTTGATCAACGGCTCATAATTGCCATCAAGCTTTTCTGATATGCATCATAACACAAATAGTCTTTGCACCAGATCGATAAACCCAAGTAGACAAACGAAACACTGGGCTATTAAGGGTGGTGTATATCCGAGAAACGATGGTCTTATTTAGCGACGAGAAGTGGAAAAGTGCGTACCAAGGTGGAGAACGCGATGCACCTGGCTATCCACCAGCTTCTTGCATGGCCTGTCCATTTGCAGACATGATCAGAACTCACTAATATCGGTGCACATATAAGCCGAAAATAATTAATTTGACCTGGAGAATGTCAGGATAATCCGATTGGTAAGAAACTGGAAAGCTTGTGAATCCATCGAAGCCTACACTCAGGGCACTACCCAATCAATAGACACTTGGAGGGTTGAGGGTCAAAGGAGTAAACTGCCTAAGGCCAATGGGACAATAAAATAAAACATTCGGTCAGGGTTCCAACTGCATCCATGAGCATAGTGGGCCAAAGAAAACGAGGGCCAAATCTTGACTAAAAATAAGACAGAATCATAAGCTTTGGCGCCACTTTTCCGGAAGTTGCGCTGACAATACCATCTAGTCTGGTGATGAAACGTTCGCAGCTCAAATGATAGCCCAACATCCTCACAAAGTACAATATGTGTGTGTGTGTATGTATGTATGTGTGTGTGTGTGTGTGTGTGTGTGTGTGAACAACAGTCGCTGATGGTTGGTGCCAAAAATATGTGCGCATCTATTGATGGGGTAACACGTTTCCCTGGACAATTGAGTTCTTTGGGTGTGTACTGTGGCAAAGATAGCCTGGTATATGCACACAAATGAATAACAACAATGATGGGCCGTGTGAATGTTTACCTGGAACATGCACCAAGTGGGATGTATCATCGGACGTCGTTTTTCGACGGATACCCAACGGCGGAGGGTCTCAGGGCAGCTGCAGTCCTCACCCAACTCCTCCTCGTATGGTAGCCAGTGCTTTCTAGGCTTATTAACAGATGTCGATTTGAGGTGTCCAGAGCCTGCGGCCTCCGAATCAATGGCTTCGGCCGTGCAGGAACAATTGTCAAGATTAGTGTGGTCGACCAAACTCTCAGCGATAAGTGAACCGTCTGCCAAACAGTGAAGCGAGATCAGATCATTCGGGTGGATGGCACACAGTAACTCCCATAGGATAAGACCAAGAGAATAGATATCCGTACGAAGCAACGCTACGTCAGTAAAATTGATAGCGCCATCGAGTAGTTCCGGGGCCATGTAACGAAGAGTACCAGCCTGGAGGATTAAGCATAGGACATTTGATGAATATGCAGAAAAAACATTGGCGTACAAGGGGAATTTTAGTGAGAGGCCTGTGAGGGTGGTCCGGATAAGCGAAGTTAGATGGAAACATACAATGCATCTGCATCCACCACGTAAGGGAGTAAATGGGTTTGAATGGCAGACGACGGGGAGAAAAATGAAACAAAGGTGACTGACGTGAAAGATGACAAGGCATTTTGATAAAAAGGAACATCAAGTTGACAGGAGAAAAAACCGTTGATAAACCTAACCAATCGGGTCCATGGATAAATAAATAAATATAGGTGCACAAAAGAGAAGAGAGAATGAGGGGAGTAGTTTGTAAAAAAGTTAGGGAGCGAACTATGTGGCATTTATGCTACGGCTCGAGAACCAACCTAGCACCGGTAGTAGACGAGATGCGATACGTCAACTATGTCCAACCGATCAATGGACGGTAAGGTTAGTGTGGACGGACAACGAACAAATAAAGTTAGCATCCCTGCGGAGCGCAGCATATATCAGCCGGAATTCAGTCGGCCACAGAATGAAGGCTGTAAGTTCGTTGCTCGTGAAGAAGAATAGAGGCCAGACTCAGTGTTCCACCACTAAGGAGTACTGTTCGGCTCTAGCCGAGGACAACAGCAATTCGAGCCGGTTTCAGGCTTACTCTATCGGGTATAAGTGGAAAATGACTGGGTCTGTGAGCGTCACAGGACTACATCTCACAGTTCTTTGCATGTGAAGGGTGATACGCGTGTGTTCGCAGTTACAGCGACAGGCAAGCTCGAAAAAGAAAACAACGAACGACTATTGTACTGTTGTAAGATCCACAGTAACATCGCAGGTAAAATGGCTCTTGGATATTAAGCAAATAACGTTAAAGAGTTGCGGACATTTGGGCAGAAGTTGCAAAACAGAAAGGTCGCTAACACGTGCTACTGTTTTGATGTGATATTAAATTATTTTGAGATAAAACGGATGGAAAGTTGACGGCAAATAAGTGCATATGCGAGTTTCACTCTAAATTGTACATATTGGATTCTAAGTAGAAAATCAGCGAGTTGTTAAAAGAAAATGAGGAGTAAGGCGATTGGACATTGTGGTCATGTTAATGTGAAAACAGGGGGCGCTATTGCAAGATCCGCCCTTAATCGTGCGCGTCGTTCACTTCGACCAAACGCGGTAACCCAGTTCTACAGTCTCTCCATCGGCTTCGCGTAGTTTGTGTGTCTGTGCGAGTACGCATAAACAGATGCAGCTATGGGACTTTTAAAGTCAGACTGCTGAATTGTATAGTCTATTATAACGTGAGCTAGCATCATTAGCCGACTGCTTCAAGAAAAAACGCGTCCACGAGGCAGTGAAAGTAGAAGCAAACGTCCCCGAGGTAGAAAGAGATCCTTACCAAGTATATGTTCGTTGACGGCAAAATAACACACGAAACTGCTGAAGTCGCCCATTTTAACGAAAGTACGGCTAGAAACACCATTAATGCATACAGGCGGGAAGGTGCCATTACCCAGTGCAACTGTGGACGAAACACCAGAGAAGCTGACTCCCGCTGTCCTAAAGCGCATCGAAGAGACCGTTGAACAGTATTCGGAGAATACTTTGGTGCAAATATAACTGCGGATTAAAGAGAACGAGACCTACCTTCCAGTATCTACGGTCTTCAACGCCCTCAGAAGACTTACGATCACGATTAAGATGTGTCACTACGAGCTAAGCCGCATGCGTCAATAATGCCATGTGAATCGCAAGCCGGTTTACGCTTCGATTTCTTGGTACATGCACCGCATGAGAAAGGGAAGTGCATTTTCATAAACGGGAGCGCGGGTAAACGTAACTCTGCGGTGGACGCGGGCTCTCGCTCAAGATGAGGGAAGCGGGTGAACAGTAACTTGCCCACAGTCAGAGGTCGCGTGATGACGCTGATTGTGGCAATGAATAACCAAGGTATGGTTCACTCAAGGAGTATCAACGATTAGACCTGTAATGGTGTAAAGTTCACAATGTTCGTCGAGGAGGTTGTGGTGCGTATAAGCTGTCGAGCTGAGATGAACGGTGCATAAAGGATCATGGATAACGCTAGAATCAACATGCCGAATGATCTAAAGAGGATCCTGGGCTTGTCTCGTCAACTGAAATTTCTGTCGCCAGATTCCTACATGCTAAACACTGAGGAAAACATGTTTTCGAATGTGAAACATCACCAAGAGGCCTGCTGAACAAACCGACTTCTAAACACAGGCTAAGTGCGATGATCCGAGAGAGCGTCGGAATAGTAGCGCAGCAGGGCTGCACGAATTTCGTCCTCAATGCGATGATGAACCTGACAAAGGCAGCAGCGGGACAAGTCCTTATCAACTGATGACCACTAAAGATAGTGTTTTATTCCCTGTTAATACATCGTTATCATTACAAAATGGGCGTTTCAAAAGCAAACTACCGGATATAGCTTGCAGAAGAAGATGCGGTATCCAAATGGAAGGTATAAAGTCACCTGAAGCGAAAGAGGGGCATCAGGAAGTTTCACAGTGCAGTGTCACTACAGTACATGAGAAGTTTGGTCCGATCTCTCGCCTTCAGGGCGCGCAGTATTTGCACACCGGATACCGTGAACGAAGAATTGCAGAGAATCAGCGATGCACTGAGAGAAAATGGCTATCCAGACAAATTTATTTCGACGCATCTGAGGGAACACAGACGCAAGCTACCTAACAGCATTGCTCCTAAAAAAAAGCTATTCATGCCCTTGCCATTTAGGGGCGATTTTGCTGCTGATACCCTATGCCGACGCTCGAAAGATACTGTTGAAAAGATTTATTTCATGGTCCAAAGTGAATTATTTACTACAAACCGTTGCTTGCAAAACCCTTGAAGGATGAGCTGTCTTCGTTGACCCATTCAATGCTCGTTTATTGGTACTCGTGCTCCTGCGACACATGATATGTAGGTCGCACTACGAGGCGCCTATCTTAGAGAATTCGCGAACACATTCCGGCCAGGTTCTGCAAAGGGGAGATGAGATCTTCAAACAGCTCTATTATATCACACCTTGATTTTGACCACGGCCTCTGGGGATGACTTCAAGGTCATATACTCACCACATGGACGTTTCACGCAAGGTTTCCGCAAGCAGCCCCTATCCGTTACTGAGGCTATTTTCATCCGCCGTCAAAAACCGGAACTGTAAGTGCAAAAGCGGTACATACGTCCTTTACTACCTCGTAGACCAACGGACCATGTTACCTAACCATTTGATTGCCATTCGAGATTCTATGTTGTACATTTCATATTGCTTTGCTTACCATTTACATCATAACCTCGAGCTATTGAGTGTCTGTTCGAACAACCCGATTTGACGCTAACAACACCTCATCTCTACCATGCAAACGTTTAGGTCCGATGAGTTTACACGAGAATAATTCTCAACACAACATCCACTTGGCATTGATTTGATCACTAGCCATGTATACAACGGGGGGGGGGGATTACCTTTGGCAAAGCTTCCAATATAGAAGGCCTGGTAGCCACGTTGTCCGTGTAGTTGGAGATAAGCCCGGAGTCACAAGAACGAGGTGTGGTATCGAGTGCGCGGTAACCGAGAGGTACAGCTTGCCCAAAGTCAGATAGACAGGCGGTGCCGTCAGCTCGTAGTAGAATATTCTCTGGTTTCAGATCACGATGTGCGACTGAAGGTTTAGCCGGAAACATTCCGTTACCGGAACACCTCCCGGTTAAATCGGTATGAAGATATGCCAATCCGCGGACAACGTCTTGAACTAAGCCAATGCACCTCGCCGGTGAAATCCATCGACCATCAGACAATAGACTACGCAGGGATCCGCCTTCTGCGAACTCCAAAAGTAACAAATGTTGTGGCAATGGCGAGGAAGAGACCTAAAGGGAAAGAGTGATTGGAGCGGCACAACGTCGTTCAGCAATGATCGCCAATGATCGCCGAAAAATAGCAACGAACTACCAAATTGTTCATTTATTGAGAAAATGCACAGGACCTGAGCCAAGGTAAAGATTGGCATCACAACTGTCATCAATGGCGGCGAAGATGAAACCAAATTAGAGATAAAGCTGTTTCGAATGAAACTACGTCACAGTTAGTTGTCACTATCTCGGATACTTCGCCGTATCTAACTATAAGGTTGTTTAGAAAGTAATTCCGTTTTTTCCGATGAAAATGGAAAGAATTTCTTTATACTGAATGAATATTTTATTGAATTATACATTCTCCATTCAGATCTAGTACCATTAGCCATCTTTCTGGCAGTAGCATGATTCCATGCTCTTAAAACTGTTTTTATTTGCTGGCAAAAAACTGACCTCATCATTTGCGGTAAAGGTTTGACCGTCTAAACACGTTTGTAGAGACGGCAACAAAGAATAAACAGAAGGTGCTAGATCTGGGAAATTTGGTGGGTGTGGTAATGTATCACGTCCAAACGATAAAAGCTTTTGGCGAGTTACCAAACTTGCATGAGGTCTCGCATTAATTTGTTGGAACATTACAACTTTTCTATTGATCAATTCTGGGCTATTCTGCTTCAGTGAATCATTCAGTTTGTTCAGCTGATGACAATGCATTTCAGAATTGATCGTTGTGTTGTCCGGTAGAAGCTCAAAAAACGATTCCTTTGAAAAATATCGGCTTTCGATGTGGTTTGAGCCGGTTCATCTTTTTTACTCCATGCTCTCTTGCGTTTAACATTGTTGTGAACAACCCATTTCTCGTCCACAGTGATGATGCGCTTCCAAAATGGATCCTTTTTTACGTTTGCGAAGTATATCACACACAAATTTCTTTCCGTAATAACACGAGAATTCCATATGTGGAGCTTTGAGATAAAACCTGGGCGTTTCAAATGATCAGGGACAATCGAGTTAAATAAGTTTAATCTCCCAGCGATCTCGCGGTTTGGATCCAATAATGCGAAGTAAGTAAATAATTGATGCAATCGAGTAATTAATTACTTATTAAATGTCGGATAGAAATTTTGAAAACCAGTTTTGGCACTGGCGTTTCGTCAATACATCTCCATATACATCCGACAATTTTTCCTCTTTGAACAGTATTTTTATCTTTTTGATAGTAAAAAAGTAAAATATGCTGAAAATGCTGCTTTTCATCTCCCATATTTGAAAGGGCAATAACCAAAAACGGCTGAATAGAGTAAATCGTCCCTTTACACATGCAAGCCTTACTACATCAGCTGTCAAAATATAAAAAATGATGCTTGAGTGTGAAGCTGGCTTTGGAAAAATACACTCAAATCATATGTTGGCAAAGAGGAAATTAGTTTCCGAACAAACAGATAACTTGACAGCTAGCGCCTCGTCAATGATAAAAGAGACAGTCATGGTATGGACCACAATCATGTTGGAGGACTCGGTGAACTGGGATAACGTCGGAAGAGTGAGAAGAAGAAAACGGTGGTGCAAATCATTAAACAACGCCACTGTCGGAGAGGATAAGCTCTATTTCTACAAAGTGCCGGCTCGTGGCTTTAAAGATCACAAGCCAACCTTGTAATCCCGAAGTGGTGAGTTTGAGCCTGCGTAAGCGATCGGGCGACCCTCGCAGTATCTTTAGTTCACGCACGAGTGGTGATGGTCGCGCGGCAGCAAAGCATGGTTACCGCCTAGAGGCGTGCAACAGATGTCTTTATTCCTACACATTAGAGACAATGGAAATGCAGATAACAAGCATAAGTAGACTATACCTAAGACTACCACAAAGACTACTGCAAATTAAAGTACGAATTGTAACCAAGTAGACACCCACATCTCTAGGGAAATCCAATGCTGAGTCTCATTCAAGATGACCGTTGGATACTCATTGCTCAACTCGTGTTCACAGTTCTAATGTATCATGTACATAGAATAAGCTTGCTTGTAAATAAAACAGAACAGTACATCGTTTGCCAAAGTACTGTTCAGAGTGATAAGTTATGCGACGAGTGACAGTAGCGAGCAGTTTAATGTAGTAAATGTCCCCAAAAATGACGGCTGTGGGCTGGGATACACCTGAACTGGAACCGTCAGTGACAGACGTACAACCGCCTTCGAAGCGCTTGCGCCACACAAGTGTCTCATTGTCGGGATTTTCCCTGCAGCGGTCTCACCAATCAGAAAGCACATCGCACTAGTCAAAGTACCGGGTGATGATGCTGAAGTGCATCTAAATTTCCACTAGTGCCCTGAGAGAAATGCCATAATCAAAGTATGAGACGAACATTATATCGGTCTAATCCAACCAATGACAACCGAGTGCATGGCTGCCTTGGAGCATACAAAAAATCAGATTAGTGGTCCTGGTTATTGTTAAAAATTCGTTGGACATGTTTACCGCCGCTTCATCAGTACAGTAAGTTGGGGTAATCCCACACCCTACTTTTTGAAATATGTATAAAAAACTATAAAGTTAAGAATATTCATAAACACACAGTAGGTTATATTTTATGTTACCGAAAGAACTTCGCTGAAAACACAATTGTAACCAAGATATTTGCATTGTATTGATATTTTGGTAAACTAGAAAAATGGGGCAATTCCACACCTTCTGCTATAGTCAGGGTTTTTCATAAACAACAACCAAACCATTAGCAGGCACCTGATGTTATGTCTATCAGAAAGTGAATTTCCCAAATATGTTTCTACCAGACACTTTTGGCTGCAACCACTCATCGTCACTGTCCGATATGGAAAAAATGTCTGTAGGACTCTAAACCACTCTTCTGCATTTTCGTGGAATCATTTCTGAGTTGAGCATACGAATAAGATGGTTTATCACTATGCAAAAGATTCGTAGTTTTATTGAACACAAGCACTTCATTTAACGGATGTCTTCGTGATCGTGTTTTTGCTGCCTTTGCGAAGACATCACGTATCCGTTGACCTATGGGATCTTTCGGACCACGTGAACTGGATGGTTTCTTTTTGTTCAAATCACTTCGATGCTTACGATCTGTTTTATTTTTATGCAAACTTCTCCGTGGGCTTGTAATTTCTTCTACCTTTGCTTCTTCTTGCTGCTCCATTCGCTCCACACATTCATGAGCAATCAGACTTTCTCCATAATGTCTTTTAATTGTCTTTCTCTGAGTGTTAGATGTGTTTCGTTTCAGGAATGATGATAGTCTGTTGAAATAAAAGTGTCTAATAGAGTTTCTTTGATCGCTCTGCTTCTCAGCATGAGATTCTTTTATGGATGTGGAAAGTTGAGATAAAGCTGGTTCTGTCGTCATGGCAGAATCTGTTGACAGAACTGAAACGGCTGACTGATTCACTTCATTGTCCTCTTGCCGTATGCGCACACTTGCGTTGTACGCTGTTGATGTTGCTTGAACGCTGCCCACATATTCTGCAGATTCGTGCACAGAGGATGGAATTTTGGAATGGTCAAACGGCATGATACCACATTTGCTAAATCCGGATAAAATATTTCCTTTGCTCAGTCACTTTCCCATAACTTCTTCAGAAGAATAGGAAATAGCTCTTTGGACAAGGCTGCCTGCCTGGCAAATTTAATCAGAATTTTCTCCCACTCTGTCTTCACTGGTCCATAGACACCCACATCAAGAGGTTGGAGCAAGTGGGTTGAATTTGATGGAAGTTTCATAATTATAACACCATTTTGAATTGCTGCTCTAATGACTTTAATATTCATATGTGAAGCATGCCCATCAACAATTAACAGAACAAGTCTACCTTCTGGTAGCAATGGGATGAAATGGTTTATAAACCAGTCACTAAAACAAGCACTGTCCATCCAACCTTTTTCAGAGACATTGTATCTAGCATTATCAGGTCCATTTTGGCTCCATAAACGATATACGGGGAAAGCATGGTCCCATCAACCCGAGCACATCCTTGCATTGTGATAGAATCTCTTCCTGAGCCAACAATGATACTTAAAAGGTTTTTGATCCCCTTTTCACAAATCCCTTTCAATCGCTTAGGGTCGAGTGGAAAGCCACTCTCATCAACGTTGTAAACTCTTTCGGGCACATTCATAATGCCATTGATTGTGTGAGTTTCATTTAGCAGCTGAAACCACTCTTCAAATGTCTGTTGGTTTGCAACCAACTGGACTTTTGATTTTTTTAGTTGCTTTGCAGTTCGGCATGTCAGATCCGGATGTCTCTTTAAAAATCTGTATAACCACTCTCGACCAGGAACATTCTTCTTAAAAGAAACAGTCCTATCTTCACTAACGGAAGTAATAAAATCACCCACAACTTCCATCGCTTCTGTGCATGTGAATCCAAGCCCCCACTAGGCGACAAGTTTTAAACAACTGGAAACTTCTTCTGTTTCTGTGAGAACTATTTTTCTACCAGCGCCCATTTTTGCTGTATTTTCTTTTTACGTGGTCTCAAATTGTCGCCTTTTTCAAGTTGTACAACTTGGCAGCTTTCTTGTACCCCATGATACCTTTTCTAACTTGAGCAACGGCTTGTTCCATTGCACCTGTGTCATATGTTTCCTTTTTACGTTCGCAGTTTCAAAGCATTCTGAAAGTCGAAAACAAATCAATATTGGACCACTCACATCCAAACAACTCACAAATAACCATGAGTTAAATGCACACCGTGATGCGTGGAATTGCCCCACAAGGTTTTAATTGGGGTGCGTAATGCCCCAACATACTAGTAATCTGTCCCTCACGTACAAAAAATGAACTCATGAGACAAATAATTTAGACGTGAACAAGTAGTAACACTATAAACATTTTAATCTATATTACTCAATTTCTGGCAATATAATGAGTTTTCAGACAATTATAGACTTCTAAAGAGTGTAATATGTCAAAGTTGAATTAAGCGAAGCCGCTGCGTGGTTGGGTTGCGACTCGCAACCTCTATTGAGACCACGGTTTACGTTGAGATAAACCTCGATCATTTCGATCGCGAGAAGCGTATCTGGAATGGAAATATTGGGATATTGCTCCTCCCAACAATGGCACATAACGACCGGGGTTACGTATTTGTTTTGACTACTGAGGTGGACAAACCCTGACCAGGGTTGGAACTCAGAGTCTATTAGTTCACGGATGACGTCTATACCATTTTCCATTTAAGTTGGACATTCGGGCAAAACATTTACGCCTGGGGGTCAATGGGGTTGCTCCTCCGAGGCAATCAAGTTGAGTCCGCTATGCGGAATAGAACCACTCACTGGCATGGTAGGAGCTGTTTCGTTGGCCAAGCGCTTTCAGCAAATAGGACCTCAGACGCTTGGCCAATGAAACAGCCCCTACCGTGCCAGTGAGTGGTTCTATTCCGCATAGCGAAGCCTCAACTTGATTGCCCCGGAGGAGCAACCCCGTTGACCCCCAAGCGTAAATATTTTGCCCGAATGTCCAACATCAATGGAAAATGGTATAAAAAACTATACGACTGAGATCCGCGAGCAACGCTTGGCACAGCGGAAAGCAAGTCAAAGTTGTATTTAGCGAACACACTGTGTGGTTGGGTTGCGACTCGCAACCTCTATTGAGACCTCGGTTCACTTTGAGGTAAACCTCCGTCATTCCGATCGTGAGAAGCGTATCTGGAATGGAAATATTTGGATGTTGCTCCTCTCAACACTGGGAGTATGCCTACTTGCACGCAGAGGACTCTGCATTGCTCGTGTATGCTGTATCTCTAGCCGAACACATGTACATGATGCTGATCGTATGTAAACGTGAAGCTGGCAAAATGGTGTCACTAAAAAAGAATGATTGCTGCAAGGAAAAAGTTATACACCTAGAAAAGGTGTGGAATTACCCTCAGTGCGGGATTACCCCAACTTACTGTACACCTCAAGTGGCCATGATGAGAACGGATGAGTTGAATATCGAAAGTACAGGGTTTTCTGAAAACGAGGAAAGCTACGCTGAAAACCGTAGTTAGAGCCTCAAAAATGCCTCTCTAGCTATTCCGTATATTGAAAAGTAAAAGTGAGAACTTATGATGCCTTAAGTGCCGATGGCAACTAGTACCTGAATGATAGCTTCATTACTTAGTCAACTAAACAATAGGCACAGTTCATCACAAAGGTGAAGTTTCGTTTCATAGAAGAACACTAGAAGTGCAATCAGCGTTACCAGCACTTTTAGCGGAAAGTAATGTACAAAGAGTAGCAATGGTCACGACGCTCGATTGATACAAGATTGGGATACGTGCATCAGCGGCGACAATTAGCTCACTCGAGTAATTAGGAGTGCCAACAAGCGCTCGCACCGACGACAACACGCAAGTCGTCAGGAATCGGGGTTGCCACCTTAGTACATATGGTGCACACTGCATAAACAGGTGCAGTAAGATCCACATCATGCCAACTCGTACAAGCAAACAGAGGTCAACGGCAATTAGTGCAAAATAGAAAGACGTGTGAGAACCCAGGTGACGACTGGATAAGCCAAAGGTTGACGGTTGGCCAACCTCTACAGTTCGCGCAAACTTTTGGTGACGAAGCGCCACGATAAAATGGACCTCGTTCACCCAAGTTGGAGAATCACGCGATACTGTCACGCGCAGGACACCAGGAACATGGATCATAAATGCCGCAGTCAAGCAAAAGCGTAAAGCAGGGCAGATGAAACAGTAGTGTTGAGGGTGAAATAAATTTAGGACGCATAAAAACACTTACCGTTCCTGCAGCTATCAGTTTGACCACATTGGGATGTATGTAGTGTCCGCGGTTTTTGTCTCCTTCAGGCAGCTCAGTTGAAGAGGACATCTGTAGAGCCTTAAACACGTCTAATTCAGTGGACCAAGCGCGGTATTCGTCGGACTCGAATATCTTAACGGCTACAGCGGTTGAGCGATCGGACAGAAAAGGGCCAAGTTTTGGATGATCCATATCAGACATACGGAAGAAATCGGAGTGGACAATATGTACGTTCGTTTGGGCCAATGTTTCGCAGTTGCCGCTGTAAGTGGGACCATCACCATTATCAGTACATATTAACTGCTCAGATTGCCACAATACAAAAAGATAGACGAATAAGCGTGATACTAAAGTATACAGACAACGGCATAATAACGAAAAAAACAGATAACAGAGGGTGTGAGATCGTGGTTGGAGGAGGCCAAGTAGAAGGGGTTGGGATAAAAAATACTCCCAACACAGATTCCATTGAGGTCGACACTTCGCTATGTCAACTAATGTATTTAGCCAGATATGCTCATCGTCCCTGGGAACGCAGCCTGGCAGTCGGATGCACCAACCGACGCTAAAGTCGAAGTGAGGGTTTTCATTACTCTCGATTGGCCTCCCCTTCAATTCTTCCATCCACGCCCCGACCGGGCAAACAAAACACGTCGCGGGAGTCGGTGTGCTGGCATGCACAACACGTGGCCCAGCCATCGGAGTCTGGTGCGTGAGATAGCTGTGCCGAGCGATTCACTCGCTCTCCCTGCATCAAATATGCGACGCTGAACACGCCCATTTCTCCAGCGGTGTTCCCACCAGACATGAGGTAAACTGTGAAGACAGCGATGGTCGAACGTAATTAGCCTCTTTGTCTGTCGACTTGACGGGCCAGGTTTCATGAGCGTATAGGTGGGTTGATCGGACGGCTGCATTGTAAACTCTGCCCTACAGGGCGAGAGTGATGTCATGTCGGCGCCACAGGTGGCGGAAATTGGCAAAATTGCCCCGAGATTTTGCTATACGATGGGTGATCGTATCTACTATTCCATAGGAGTTAATACAGTTGCCAAGGTACTTGAATTCTTGAATGACTTCTAGCTTATACCCACCAAGGATCAGCGCAGGGGCGGAGAAGATGGATTTTGCATTTCAAGGGTGAAGAGCATAGCCCAAAATGACTGACTGACAGTGCTAATTTGCCCAGTGCTGCTTGCGAGCTTTCACAGATTAAGCCAATATCAGCAGCGTAGTACAAGTTAAGAAGCTAATCGCCTGGGAGCAGCCCAACACCTCTCAAGTAACGTCCAGTGAACATAGTTTCCCGGACGTCATCAAACTAAAAGAGAAAAGGTAACGGCGGGCAGCCTTGACTTACACCGACGGAGATATTAAAGAGTGACGACAATGTGCCATTAGCCCACACTCTGCCAAAACTATGCGCATAAAGCGCTCTGTAATGTTTACACATGTCTCGGGCACATCTTTATTGAACAGACAGTATCAAAAGGCACATCGATCCACCGAAATATAGGTACACTTATTGGCAAAGAACACAACTAAGGTGGATCAGCAATAAATATGGTCAGGTAACAACAACTGACGTAATGTAAAGATGCTATCAATACGGCCTTGAATTTGACGAAACCCGGCTTGCTCCTCGCATATCTGGCCTTAAAGAGTGCCAGCCAGTCTATGCAGAACGACAGAGGCAAGTACATTAGAAATAATGGGATCAGATAGATATCTTTATGATTGCGTCATTCCGAACATGGGATTTCCTTGAAACTGGAACTATAACGGAGCGGCTCTAGTCTGTTGGAAGGGTCTCATGCTCCTAAAACTTTCCTAATAAGTTGAGCAAATCAATCACAAGAGCTTATCCTCCAAATTTGAGGTACACAGTTGAGTGCTGGGACATATAAGAGAATCAGAGAACGAAAAGCTACACCCAGCTGTACGGCGGTGAATCGAAGGGGAGCATGATAGAACAGACGTGTAAGATGGGAATATGAAGCTGACAAAAAGTTGGGCAAACGTGCTCACACATGCTCATTCTCAAACGCACAACCTTCATCTTATCAACCTAACCGTTGGCATGACATGAATGTGGTAAATACGCATGCGAGAGTCCCAGAGATTAACCAATTTTAATCCGAAAGGCGAGTATAAACACACGATTGCGGGAGAGGAATGCATGAGTACGGACGATTGTTGTATCATGCACTGCTCGAAATGTCACAAACGTGAACAGGTGGGAAAGCCGATGCACCTAGCAGAAGCGAAACCGAACGTTAAGCATCTGAGAGTCCTAAGTTAGCTCACCTCAAAAGTTCGTTAGGTTTGGGAACGAAAAAGCGCTCAACGCGTTTGTAGGGCAGACGCTGTGGAAATCTTGTTGATGAGAAACGAAAAGTTTGCGTTGTGTTGTGAACTAGTTCAGTTGACGAGTGTGCCTTCGCAGAATGAGTTGAAGCAGATGCAGTATCATCATCTGAGGAGATACCATTCAGTTGAAAGGAAAGATCGAAAACAGGATGTGTGGGCGATTCGCCAGATAAACGTGCCAACCATATTTCAGCGTGTCGGCCAATACACAGCTGTCTTTCTAGTCGACACGTCTAAAGTAAAGAAAATGGGATGTGTGCAAATCCATGACAAAATGAAAGCAAGGAACCGAGTAGAGATGATAACATATATAAAGAGCAGATGAACTGAATTCAGAATTCAGCACCGACTGTGAGCAATATGAAGATACAGCAACCAATAAATAATAATAATAATAAATGGGATACTTCTCAACGGTGCGAGACACAGAGCAGCTACGTTAGGTACAATACAATCACATGGTGAATGGTACAAAAATATTTGCGGGATTCAATTATTTAATATTTATAAAAGTACGGTAAGTATAGCGTAGGGATAAATGTAGGCATAGCCAGCAGTTCAAATAAAGCAATACAACCATCAAAGGAAACGTTTTTTGAGGACCTGATCCGTGCAGAGTAATCCTTCGAAAGATTTCATCCGCACTTCCACGTCTCATCTGGCCATGTGCGGACATGGCTTACAACAAGTAAGGCATCATCACGTAGACTCGTTTGTTAGCCGCAATAGGCCAGCTTGCAGACTCGTTTTTTGAGCTCAGCACCTTTTTATCGCAACCGAGTTTGTGACAATTCACCTTGCGTGAGTGTAATTAGTTAGCTTGGAAGCTTCGATGAGAACAATAGCACTATAGTCGCTAGATACTATAACTAATGTAACCAAAAGATTACATAGTGGCATGTAGGTAGGTGCTATAGATATAACTCGCAACATGAAGGCAGAAACACAGTTTGGGAGCTTTATTACATACGTGTGCAGGAAACGCATGTGCACATCGCGGTGTCCAAGAGATGACAAGTTTCGGAGTAGAACAGCTTGGTATGGACTGCGTCATCATACGGGGTCATCAGTTAAGGTGGATATCAAATGATCAGTCACACCATCGAGGTCGCACAGTCGAGAATAAAGTTTATTTATTTATGTCTATTGAAAAAAGTAAAAAGTGGCGCCGAGGGTGTGACAATACTAGACCAAACAAAAAGTAGTGGAGTTCTGTAGTGGTCACCTTGTTCTCTATCAAATACCACAAGATCTCTTACAACGCTGTGTCAAATCCAATGTGACAGGCTATAGAATCACTGACCACTCACTTCTTTACTTGGAGGTGAGTGTCGAAAGGACGGTGGATGAACAACCTTGCTGGCCACCGGCTTCTGTGTGGACTGCAACCGAACACAAAGAAAACGAGTGTGCCCGCTTGCTGTCAACGATCTTCGCATTCGCACCGGTGCCTTGCGGGGTGGGGTCCCTTAAATCAACCCTCTTCCTCGGCCTGGACAACAGGGAAGCTCATTGCCCACACAACACATGGATCTTCGCATCCCTTCCCCTGACTCACCACCCCACCACTTTGTTGTTGTTACTCATGTGTTGTGGCACTCTGCCAAAGGTTTATTATATATATATATATATATATATATATATATATATAATATACAGGTCAAAGAAGCAGGAAATAGATAAACAACAAATCGAACAAACGCTTAATAAGTTTCAATTGTAATGAAGAGATACATAGTAATAGAAGTACACCGCTATTAGACAAAGAAACAATGGCAACGACCGTACGCAACCGATACCCATTACGAAGGAAATAGCAGCGAAAGCTTAGCGAAAAGGTAGTCGAGTAACTAGGTCAGAAAGAGTGCGTAGTACCTAAGCGACTGACAAGAAAGTGTCAAAGGAGAACACAGTAAACAAGAAATATGAAATAAGGAGGTAGAGAACAAAAAACTAGCTAACCATCCGATATAAAAATGCATCCAAGGATGAACCGAATGGACGAGCATCAGAAACGATGGAATAAATAAATAAATAAGCAAACGGTGTATCCTTCGACAGTGCGAGGCAGTTCAACTGTGTGGTCTGATTATTATGTTTGGCGAAGTCGCATGGAACGGCCAATTTTACCCCCGAGTTTTTCACAGCAGTTGACCGATCGGCTAAATCTTTTAAAAAGCTCGGAAAGTTGATGATAATAATAATGAATGCAGACTAATCTAAATGTTCAAGAAAAGTAATACGGCCAAAAGTGGAACCGTACTCGCAGCTTGAAGGTTCATTTATTACGTGTACAGCAGAAGAAAAGGCCTGAAGGGTTGACAGACGTGGTGGGTGCTGTACATAGCGTCGCAAACAAAACGAAAAAAACGAATTAGTATGGAAACCGAGAACCAGTTGAATCCGCTTCAAATCAGTATGAGCAGAATACGAGAGGCTAAATGATACAAATCAGGATGGCAAGGTTACAGTTAATCAGTTGGGGAACCTGTACGACAGGTATGGGTCCCTTCGACCTCTGGGACCTGACGCGGTAGTCAAATGCTAAGTATTGCAACAAATCATCAGCTCGACCAGCTGACGAGGAGGGGGTTGCCTGATCAAATGTCCTTAAAGGCTGTGCGATATAAAAACGTTGTGTGACGTATGCGCACAACTTCACTAAGCGGTGCCGGCACGACATTATTACTCTTATATCCGAATGTAGTAGATCTCATGTTAGAGCACAACACAGTTGCAAGCTCCAGTGAGATAAACCACTGAATATGCGGCTGCTAGAGACGTCCTGAAAGTTAAGGCATAATGCAACGAGCAGAGCCCATAATTCACTCCGAAAGTGTGAAGGCAAGCAGACGGATAAATAAAAACCACGCTTGAATCGCTGGCAGAGGCATTGGTAGAAATACGAGGGAAAATGTGATGTATGCGTGTGTGCGGACTGCACTTTCCGAGACATTTGTCAAATCGGAACAGTTAGTAAGTAGCGCAAAGAAACAGTGCTCTATGTTTCTCCAAGTAAACAGTTCTAGTTGTAAATCTCTCAAAGAACAGAAATAACTAGAAGCGAGTCAAGATAGATGTATTGATCAGAAAACAGTACTGACGCTAATCGGTAGCGGACATATAAGAGTACGCGGAATAGCAATTAAACAGCGGCGACAAGGTAAAAACATACCATATGAAGGAGAAAGGGGGAAGCAGAAGCGAACGATTTTATTGATGATCCTGCTGAAATGCCAGTCGAGTTTGTCCTCGTTGATTCTTGTGCGGTGTCGTAGTACGCTGTATGATCGTTTTGTGTATCAACGATCTCATTCCGGACCGATTCAGAGTGGTTGCCATGACCAATATTCGAGAGAATTGGCGGGATTTTCATGTGTTTCTTGGCAGGGGGGCTTGGTAATTTGAAGACGTGATTTGAGCATAGCCAATTACATTTGGAAGATCTATCACGTGAGCTGGGCTTGATCATGAAAGCTGCTGGAATAAATTTGCGTCGGAAAACTCCAGTCGAGGTGCAGTAACAAATGCTCAATCCGACGGTGAAAACACTCAACAAAGCAGCGAGGCAGGGAAGAACGATGTGTGCTAGATAAGACAATACCATGCTGGAGGCAATGAATTCATCAACTGCTGTTCCGTTTAAGACTGCATCGCTCACGTCCCGAATCCCGAATTGCCCAAGCCAAGCACCGTTTGTCATCCTTGACTCTAAAATTCAAAGGTTATGTGTGAGAGTGGTTATAATAAGGCAAGCACAACAGGGAGCAGCGAAGCAAACACAGTCCACAACTTCACACTGGCAAGGTGACCAGAGCCACATTCCACTATTACTGATACGTTCATTACAAGATACTTACCGGTCTGCACATTCCGTCACTACACATGAACCCAGCCTAACGTCACATCACAAGCGATTTCGTTCTTCATCGATACTTCCTATTTCTAGAACTTATAGCTTGAAGCCATCTTCCCATTGCATGCAAGGTGAGATGCTTGTTGCGAGGGAGATTTGCCAGTAAAACTTTGATCATGTCTTATTTGGTGTGCCTCGACGCATCTGATAAGAAAATATTTAGTTGATTAGTCAGGACAGTAGGCATGATAAAGAAGTAGCTAGATGCTACAGCAATCTTCGTCCGAGAAGTGACCCTGCTTTCCAGTAGAGCGGGAAACAGGAAGGATCGACGCAAATTCAGGAGAATGCTATACTACTGACAATATGTGAGTAACACCACAACTTATTGGCCGGCCGTCACATCCGATCTCATCTTTATCGGCACAGACGCACAAGTTCAGGGCGCGCGAAGAGCTGACAAGTCTAGGTGCACACCAATTTATTTTAACTGTAAGCTTCAACTAAAGTTGACAAGATGTAATAAAACTCAGAAGCTCAGAAGCGCAATATTTAACGGTCTAATTGTCAGTGAAATTAGTACTGCACGAACTTGAGGGTCAGATGATTGCTTGGTGCGTTTGTTTACAAATACCATTTTGGAAGCGCGATCTGTTAGTACTAGTTATTCCATACACTGACCTATGTTTTCCTACGTGGACCATGCGTGAACTTGATGGCTGGAGTAGATTCTGTTTTATGCTGTAATACTCCAACATTTGCGGCATCGTCAATAATCAGCAATGGCGGGGACCGAGCATAATGGAAAAACAAGTTCTGTGACTATGGGGCAGTAATGGCCGCTGAATGTATGGGGTAGGCTGCAGAAGCAGAACCGAAGCCAAGTATGAGTATATCTAAAGTTGACATTAAATGAGGATTTAGTGGTCTCGCGGACACATGAAGTCTACTCAAGTCAAGTCAAGATAAGCTTTGTGTATCCGGATGGGTGTATTCTCAGAATTTTGCACTACAAACTGCAGATAGACTAAAATGGCGTCATTAACCATGCAAAATGTTACAAATGGAAAAACGGAAATAGCAATGGATGCATGAATGTCACTAAATCAAACAGTCTCGCATAAAACAGCAACGTTCGGACCTTGCTGGAGTCGGCGGGATTTGTATCGGGTTGACAAAACGACGTTTTACTTAGACATTTCCTGATCCTTGGCTTGAACCTGTCCAAAATCTTGTAGCCGAAAGTGACAAGCGGAAAACTGTGCGCATGTATCTCAACATATTTTTCAAAAACGATGGAGTAAGACGGTCTTAGTGACCTTGGAAATAGTCTAGCCAAAAAACTAACCAAAATATTTCATTAAAACTAGTGTATGCACATTAGAGAGAGTGAAAACCATGCTCCAGTGGAAACGACAAAGGCCGATTTGAAGACCGCAAACGGGTAGTCCGAGTCAAATGAGGAAATCGACATACCAAGAGACAAAAGGCGTTTGTGAACAACAGCCTAGAAAGGCGATTAGCGAGAAAATATCGGTCTGAAACCTGTGGCGCTTTCAGATGGATGATCATCATTACCTACGGAGCAGTACCCGTAGCAGGCGGTATTAATGTGTACTAACGATGAAATGTGCACAAGAGCCCTAGGTGGCGATGCACAATTTGATTTGTTAGATTAACAAATGGAACCGCATAGACTGTGTTGGTTCAAATACGTATGCAGTGTACTCGCCTGCCGCTTACCGAACACAATGATGCTATGTTTGTCGGATAAGGTGCGGAGTCAGAGCCGATGGAATCAGTGAAAATGAAGTCCGGACCACCAGTGTTGTCGATCCAGTCCACCCTATACCCTTAACTATACGTGACGCACATGGTAACTGGCTGGAAACATTAAGCGATATGGACCACTATCGGCAGTAGTGGTGTGCAACCGTCTTCTTCCTGCCGTACTACGTGCTTGAGCATGAGTGATGCTGAGTTATCCACACTGTAAAATTAGGAAACAACAGCAAGAGCAGTAGCAGAAGCAAGCTAGTCTTGTTTACCGATGCAATGCTCCCATAGTAAAAATGAACCGATTAAGCAGGAAAACTAATGCTCTATGAAGATAAACAGGGTCACGGGTCTTAGCTTGCAAGCATTCCACGACCACAAATAGTTGGTTAACAGGCTAGTATCAAGTGGCTTCAACAAAACAGCTACCATGCGGTTTCACTAACATCACAATCAGCTCTACTCTACAAGCGGCTAGACATCAGTTACACTTTAAGCATGCAGTCCAGACGGGAATAGCAAATTGTCCAACCGGTACCAGCTGCGTGTCGTACGAGGTATAGTACAATGCAGAGTACGAGGCGTGAAACCAAGCCTGGAAAGTACGTCGTATAATCAGCACCCATTTTATAAATACCTCACTGAACTCGGCAGCAAAAGTCGTTGAAAGCGCCTCAGATTATTCGATTAAAAGGGTTGTTTCATTCCCGTAAAGAAGGTATTCGTTGTGACCGGTGGCCGAGTGGTCTGCACGTTTGCTTTGCAACCATAAGGTCACCGGTTCGAATCCGCGTCGGGGTGGGCGTCCTCGCGGTATACTCAGCCCGCGCGCAACTGGTGGTGGTCGCGCGGCAGCGAAGCGCCGTTACGGCGTACAGCTGACACATTAGTATAATTATCATAATAATAATTATTATCATTACTGAAGGTGGTTCTCGTGTGGACACACATGACCAACGTTAGCACATACTCGCTTATCAAAGCGAATACAGCTACTAAGGTATGTGAAATGATCATTCATCTCCAGGTTCTCAACGGGCATCATCATCAATACACATTAGTTGTGAGAAACGCACCGCAGCCATTGTTCCGGAATGCCGAAAAGATAAGATACTAAAAAGTACAGGCAACAAAGGTTCAAAAGCTAGCAATATAACGTTATATGTCATATTATGCGTTCATTATGAGGTGGAGGTGGAATATAAACGGGAGGGGATGAATATGGCTCTTCGCCATATCAGCAAGTGTATCCAACCGAACGTGATCATGGACTTTTGGACCCCAGCTTATCAGTCGGGATGTACCAACCGACGCTCACCTCGAAGGGTTTTCATTCCTCTTGACCAAGTTACCGCTTGGCCTCTTCTACTCTTTCTTCATCCATACCGCCGCTGCGCAAACAACGTACGTCGCAAGTCAGTGTACTGAAACGCGAAACACGTGGCCTAGACATCGGAGTCTGGTGCGTGATATAAGGGTGCTGAACGGTTCACTCGCTCTCCCTACACCAAATACGCAACGCCGAACACGCTCATTGCTCAAGCGGTGTTCCCATCAGACATACGATAATCTGCGAAGGCAGCGATGGTCGAAAGTAATTAGCCTCTACATCGGTCGATTTGATGAGTCAGGTTTCACAACCGTATAGGAGGGTTAATCGGACGGTTACATTGTGAACTCTGCCCTCTAGGGCGAGAGTGATATCGCGCCGGCCCCACAGGTGGCGGGGATTGGCAAAAGTGCCCCGAGCTTTTGCTATACGTTTCGTGACTTCAACTTCGACTCCATGGGCGCTAACATAGGTGCCCAGGTACTTGGATATCTGAAGGAGTTCTACCTGATCACCACCAAACCTCAGCGCAGGGGTAGACCGCTGCTAAAATTGGAGACTGCATTTCGAGTGAGCAAAGCAAAGCCCATAACGACTGACAGTCAGTGCTAATCAGTGCAGTGCTGTTTGGCGCGTTTAGGAGCTGTCACAAATTATGGCAATGTTGTCAGTATACTCCAAGTCAAGAAGTTGCTCGTCAGAAAGCAAATCCACATCTCGTAGGTGATGTCCAGAGAACGCTGTTTCCATGACTTCGTCAATGGCAGCGGGCAACCTAGTTTCGCACCGCTGAACATCTTGAAGGGCAGCGACAGTTTGTCACAAACCCTCAATCTGCCCGAACTATGTACACACAACGCACAGATATTGTTTATGTATTAATGGGGCACACGTCTGAACAGAAACATAATAGGCACATCGATTCGTCGAATCGAAGGCCGTTTTAAAGTATAGGAAAACGACTACGGTTGGTGGCCGGTAAATATGGCGATGATCCAACAATTGACGCAGTGTGAAGATGTGATCGATGCATCCATGATTGCGACCAAACCCGATTTGCTCCTGACGAATCTGACTTTCACAAGTGCCCATCAGTGAAAAACGACGGACGCAAGCAATGTAGAGGCAATTGAGATCAGACTGATTCTTCTATGAGTGCCGCATTCCGAACGTGAGACTGTCTTGAAAATTGGGACGATGACGGAGCGGTTTCAGTCTGTTGGTACAGTCACCTGCTCCCACTGCTTCACTAGTACATTGTGCAAATCATCTACAAGAGCGTCCCACGAATTCGAAGAGAGGTGAGGTAAGTCTATCTGCCCCTACGGCCTTATGAAATTTCAACAGTCTGATCTTACGTTCGATATATGTGCGTAAGGACAGACCCAAGGAGACAACCCAGAGAAAGTGACAATCCAAATTGATTAAACTGCTTTGCAAAGTGTTCGGCTCAACACTCCAAGCATTTTGACAAGCTCTGGATCGGCTGTCCAGTTTCGCCGTGTATGGTCTCACTAACACCAGGTATTATGCTGCCCGTTTCCCGTAGCAGATGGGACAAGTTACGATGGTCACCAACGGCAGCGGCTGTTTCCATCTCTGACGCACGATGAAGTCACCAGGCTTCACGGTCTCTCTTCAGGCTAGCATACAGTTTTGTCCTGAGATCTTTGCGAGCCACATTAAGTTCGCTTCCAGCCAAAATACGTCGGTAGCATCCGGAAGTTCCAGAAACGGTATAAATACCCT